GATATTTCCAAAAATCTACGAAAGATACTTTGAAATAACTTTGCGTTAATTTTTGGAAATATCTTCGTAAACACACATTTTTCGAAAAAAGTGAATAGAACATTTCTCGCGGGGAATTTAATTTCCTACAAAATTGTTTCTATGGTCTTTCCCTCAACTCCGCATATTTCGCGAGATATTTCCAAGAAACTGCGACTCGATCGTAAAATAAACGTCGATCGACGTTCTCTCTTAATTCTCTTCTAACAATTGTAATTCTTTTTTTTCCAGCTTTCCGCGTCCGCGAGAATGTAATTTTCAACGACCGTTCCTGATATCCATCCGTGCACGCATTTACTAAACTAACGAAAAGAATCTAACCAAGGGTAACTGGATTTTTTTCTTGCTTTCTTGCATCGTGCGACGCGACAGGAACACGCGTTGCGCTCTAGGGACACGTGGAAAGAGGATCACGAGCTTATATTGGGAATGTCCTGTCCCGAGGCAACCGTCGGCGACCAGTTCTCCGCCTCGGATCGTTCCCGACGCGCGACATCTTAATTTATCGTTTCATTTATCCAGCGTCATGCATCACTGCGCGTGGCTTTTATGAGTTCTTTAACCGTGACCCACCTTTTTGGTACACGATAGTCGCCTTTGCATGAACCTCGGTCGGTATCGACTAATACTTATCCACATGTTGATACTTTGGGTACTGTACCATAACTCGGCACGATTATTCTGCGTTTATATCTATAGCCATACCATTCGATTGTGTCTTAACGATGGTTGCTGGTTGCATAAGAAAAACATTGCCGCTACATGTTACATAGAAATCTTGATTCGACGTTAATTTACCCTCAGAGGGTTAGTTGGCCAGCGTTACTAGTACTAAGTTGTACGTTAATTTCTTAAGATCGTCATTACCGAGGCGTTCACTTGTTGTAATTAGAAATACCACGCGAGAACTGTAATTACTTTTCTGTATCGACAACGTTAACCTCGATATGTAACACCGCCACTTGTACAATGTCTTCCTCGTGCAACCAGTGCACCGCGACGACAGTTTCGCCAAATTTAACCAAACATTCTTAAAAAATTCGAATTCTCAGAATTCGAACCCCGTGACGATACTATTCGAGTGAAGATAAGTATCATCGTAATTCGGTATCGTGTGAAAGGTGTAATTGAAGGGAGGCATGCATCGTGGAAGTCATTATTGTAGTTGTTATTAGCGTAGCGTTTACGTTGGTTTATGTTTTCGCTTTTCTAACCAGTCCTTTCTATTGCTTTGCCCGTTCACGTTTATCCTCCGTCCTCGACGAACCCTAGACCCTGGATACACCGAGTTAGCGTTACGCTTTACGTAGAGCATGGTCCCTAGACGCCCAGAGACGCTAACGCGTCCAATCGAAACGAATTGGTCGCTATGGACGCGATGGAATGATGTTACCCCGATGTTCCCTCGCTCCCGCAAACCCCTTCTGTAACTGTACGTTAGCGCTGGCCACACGACCGATCGTTGATGGACCTTACCTCTAGAAAACGCACTGGAGATTTGTAAAGCTCTCGAGCAGACGCTTCGTAGCGTCCAAGGTTTTCGGCAGACGCTTTGGAGCGTCCAAGGTTTCTGGAAGACGTTTTAGAGTTGTCCAAGGTCCTCATTGGATACGCTGGAGCTTTCTAAGCTCTCTAGCAGACCCTTTGGAGTGTCTAAGGCATCTAGTAGAAGCTTTGGAGCATCCAATCTTTATTGCGGAAGCTTTGAAACTTCCAAGCTCTATAGCAGAAGCTTTGGAGCTTCCAAATTTTCTAGCAGAAGAAGGTTTGGACCATCCAAGCTCTATAGCAGAAGCCTTGGATTATCCTAGCTTTGTACAAAGAAGCTTGGAAGCTTTTAAGCTCTAGTGGAAGCTTTGGGCCATCCAAGGTCTCTCTAGCAGAAGTTTTGGGCTCTCCAAGCTTTGTACTAGAAGCTTTGGAACTTCCAAGCTCTATAGCAGAAGCTTTGGACCATCCAAGGTCTCTCTAGGAGGAGCTTTGGACCATTCAATCTTTATTGCAGAAGCCTTGGATTATCCTAGCTTTATAGAAGAAGCTTGGAAGCTTTTAAGCTCTAGTGGAAGCTTTGGGCCATCCAAGGTCTCTCTAGCAGAAGTTTTGGACTCTCCAAGCTTTGTACTAGAAGCTTTGGAACTTCCAAGCTCTATAGCAGAAGCTTTGGATCATCCAAGGTCTCTCTAAGAGAAGCTTTGGACCATTCAATCTTTATTGTAGAAGCCTTGGATTATCCTAGCTTTATAGAAGAAGCTTGGAAGCTTTTAAGCTCTAGTGGAAGCTTTGGACCATCCAAGGTCTCTCTAGCCGAAGCTTTGGACTCTTCTAGCTTCACACCAGAAGCTTTGGACCATCCAAGCTTCATAGCAGAAGCTCTGGACCATCCAAGGTCTCTCTAACAGAAGCTTTCGAGCTTCCAAGGTCCTTAACAGTCTGGAGAACGGTGGAACGGTACTCGAACGACTGGAGACATTCGCCAGAATATATATCCTCGGTTAAACGACTCAGAATCATAAATTATTTCTAATCATTCGTTACTTTAGTTTCTTCATAAAATATTCAAAGTGAAAAGAACGGACTCCAGACAGAATTACTAAGCGTAGAATGAAACGATTCCGTCAATGGTTGAGGAAGCAACGACTAAGTAAATTTTTCTCTGTAAAAAAGAACACTTAATATTGCTTAATATTTGCCCTCCTGATTTGGCGTTTCCCTTTAATTTAAACTTGCCCCTATTATCCTAGAGAAGGTCTCTCGAAAACTCCGTAACGAAATATTCAAAGATGACTCCGTACGTAAATAAGATGAAATATTTTCAAGAAACGAGCTTCGAAAACTTCCAAGCTTTCCAACAAGAGCTTTGGACTTGATAGTAAAATAGCAAAATCTTTGAACCTTCCAAGCTTTTTAATTCAATAGTAAAATCTTTGAAGCTTCCAAGCTCCAATAGTAGAAGGTTTGAAGCTTCCAAACTTTCTAATAGAAGTTTTGGACTCTCCAAGCTTTATACTAGAA